TCGTGGGCTGCGAGTTCCAGGCAGCCTGCGGCGTAGCAGAAGCTGTCTTGGTGTGCTTGACAGTCTTGGTGGATGTAACGAATTTAGTAGTCTTGACTGTCTTCGTAGCATCCGCAGACTTGGTCGTGGTGGTCTTGGAAGACTCTGTAGTCTTGGTTGACTTGGAGGTAGTCTTGGTGGAGGTAGTCTTGGTGGAAGTAGTCTTGGTGGAAGTCTTCGTCGAAGTCTTAGTTGACGTGGTCTCGGAGCCAGAAGAAGACGAAGACGTCGAAACATAAACCTTGCCCAGGGCGTTGACGGAACCACTGGTGAGCAAGTACTTGTTTGCGGTATAGAAATAGGCGTACCGGCCCACCTTGGCTTCAGAATCCATCCACTGCATAGATTTCTCAAGGAACGTCTTAGCCGTGGCCTCGTTGCTGATGCCGTTGGTATCAGCGTCAAGGGCGAACTCGGTGAGCCAGACCTCATCGATATCATACTTTGCAGCAGCGTCGATAGCCTCCTTCATGAACGACTCGAGCTGTGCGAACGATCCACCGTACCAGTGGACAGCCATAGCGGAGATGTTGCAGCTCTTGCAATCGCTCATGAAGGTCTTGAACCAGCTGAGGCCTTCCCCGGACTGGGTGGAGGAAGTGACGGCGGGACTGACGAGCTTGGCGCGGTCTCCGTATGGGGTGATATACTCCTTGTACAAGGTGGCAGCCTTGGAAGCACCGATGTTGGCCTGCGAGGCGTTGTCCGGCTCGTTGAAACCCAAGATATGTTTGCTGCCATCCTTCAATGCAGTCTCCACGGCAGATTTCCAATCATCCACAGAATCAGTCCCCCAGAGCATCGGCACAAATTCTACACCCGATGGCATATTCCCGTTCTTCTTCATGTCCCAGTTGTATGACCACGACATACTTCCCGACTTGCTGTTCGCGAGGGTACGGACAAGTGAGGCATCGTTGTAGGCTGCACCGCGCTTGCTGGAGGCCGCTGCTAAGGTAGCCACCAGGGCAGCAGTGAAGAGCTTTGAGAAAGAGACCATGTTGCTAGAGCTTCTGTTGTATATCGCAAGTTCTCGCTGTGCAAATGAAAATAATGAATGTGATAGACGAGTTAAAAGAGAGTGATATGTCTCGTCAGAGTAAAGAGCGATTGAGCTATAAGGAATGACACTGTGCACAGCACAGGACTAAAACAACAAAAAGGGAAGCACGAGTAAGACGCAAAACCCAGGGAAAAGGGCGGTTTTATGTAGGTACACTACATGATGGGCAGTTCTCAGTAACTACCACAGACATCCCTGCATCAGCCAACAGTAACCAGCCAAGTCCGGTCTCATCCTGGGACATATTAAGGGTCAGTTAGATCCCAAACTCTGGCTTACGATAGGTTACATTAGCTCGAACAGGAGCTCATGCAGCAAACGTAAAACCGCAGTCCATGGGGCCAAATGGCACGAACAGGTCTGACTGGCAACTCCTGTTTGTTCACAGCCCGGTCAGCTGGACCATACTAACCAAGTTGGCACAGCTCGTTGGGGGCCATCTCATCGATATATTTGGTTTCGAGCTGATGATGCTTTCCCTGAATGGGAATAGAGTGTGCATAAATCATGTGATGTATTATGAAACCACGTGTGGATGCTGCTTATCTCAGCTGCCGCTTAGTAAGGAGAAATGCAATTCACGTGATATTAATTCTGGAAAAAAAAGTGAAGGATCGGCGGGTCAAATCTGGTGGATCTCGGATGATGTCTATTCCATCATTCATGATATCGCTCTGCAGATTGAGAATCCGGGATAACCCACTGCAGTCCTGAATGAGATTAGTCGAGACTTAAGATTCAACTACTTTTCTCGCCTACGAAAGCATGATGTAGATGGCATAAACACGAGGTTCGAGTGTAGGCGCCATTCGCCACGAAGGAGGCGCAGGCCTGACTCGTTAAGTTCGCCTTATCGAACGTTCGTGGAAGACTGCTAATTCAGACTCGGAAGAGACTCTGATTCGGAGGTGGTTTCCGCATTGGTTGGCGGCGACAACAATGGCTCAGCCAACCGGGCCGAGTGCACGTACCTTTTCGAAAATTAAACCATTCAGTTTCCTTGCAAACAAAATCCTCATCCAGAAATAGTATTCTTTCCAACTAGCGATGTCCTTGTACCCTCCACTTTAAGCTTGATTGTAGTCGAGGCTCCGTCGTGGATGGGGGCGACGTGAGAATGATAAGATAGACTGCTTTTGCGAGGCATTGGATTTGTTCTCGGGAGTGAAACCGAGTAATCATAGCAGGATTTGACGCTTGCCCATCTCCCGAAGTGGGTCGGTAGGCAGCCATTTATGTGGACGAGTGTTGATTGATTGGATTGACCACCTAAGGTTCTCGGCTAGTGCCGTTCTCATACGCATGCACTTACGTGATGTTCTCCTATACCCAGAAGCCCTATCCCATTCAGGCTTCGCTTCACAGATGCAGACTTCCGGAGTCCCGGTACGGAGTCAACACATTGAATGGATATTTGGAGTCTTGTCTCAGATGACTGGTGAGGATACTTGTGTCGTGGCGAAGGCTTGACTTATATGTTCGGACCAAACTGAGTGGGGATCCAGCAATGGCTCCTATCTATACTGGCGATGGCCGCGTGGGGTATTCGCGGACCTCTGACGCGTCACCACCTATTCATGGAATCAAGGGGATGAAAGCATAGACGGTTTTCTTGGCCGTGGGAAGTTGGACTCAGGACTCCACCGGTGTGGCAGCACTTGTACAAAAGCCCTCCTGGTCGCGGAGGGTGATGAAGTTGCCAAACTCCCACTCTCGTTAATAGTCCGGCATTGGTAGACCCAAGCTCAACTTTTGCTGTCCATTAGACTTTCTTTCGTTTGCAGTGTTTTGTTTATATACCAGTTCTCTCGTTTGTTCTCGCCGACTCTTTAATTTACGAAGCATATCACTATGAGACTCCTCCATCTGGCTGCTGGTGCAGCCCTTTTCGCCAGCTCAGCGCTCGCCGTCGACCCCATCGAAATCAAGGTATATCCTATGCCCTTCTCTGTGAAGTTGCAGTGCTCATTCCATCTAGGGTTCCAAGTTCTTCTACTCCAGCAATGACACTCAATTGTGAGTACATCTAAGATACTTCGACGTACAAAATCATAACTAACATGTTACAGCTTCCTTCGTGGTGTTGCGTATCAGAGTCGGTAGCCATCCTCCTGGAACACCGTTCAAAACTAATTCTCGCAGAGAGCACTACTGCCGACCCCTTGAGCTCCAAGACCACCTGCGAGCGTGACATCCCCTACATGAAGGAGCTGCGCACCAACGTCATCCGTACCTATGACATCGACCCTACCGCCGACCACGATGACTGCATGCAGCTGCTCGCCGACGCAGGTATCTACGTTATTGCCGACCTCTCCAACACGAGTGTCGCCATCGACCGCAGTGACCCGGCCTGGCAGCTCACCCTCTACAACCGCTACACCAGTGTCATCGACGCCATGGCCGGCTACAACAACACTCTTGGCTTCTTTGCTGGCAACGAAATTGCCAACAGCGTTGGAACCACTGAGGCCATGCCTTACGTCAAGGCTGCCATTCGTGATATGAAGACCTACATCAGCAACAAGGGCTACCGTACCATTGGTGTGGGCTACGCCACGGCTGACGTTTCCTCCATCCGTGCCGACCTGGCCGACTACATCAACTGCCAGTCGGAGTCTGTCGGTATTGACTTCTTCGGTTACAACATCTACTCCTGGTGCGGTAACTCGACCTACTCGGAGTCGGGATACGAGGACCGCACTGAAGAGTTTGCCAACTACTCCGTCCCTGTCTTCTTCTCCGAGTACGGCTGCAACAGTGTCACTCCCCGTACCTTTACCGAAGTTGCGGCCCTCTATGGCGACGCGATGTCCAAGGTCTGGTCCGGTGGTATCGTCTACGAGTACTTCCAAGACACCAACGACTATGGTGCGTGCCTATCTCCTATCTGCTACTCAACTAAGCTAATTTCACAGGCTTGGTCTCCGTCATCGACAGCACCAGTGTCAGCACCATGACCGACTTCAGCTACTACTCCAAGGAAATCGCCAGCGCCACCCCGAGCAGCACCAACAAGGCCTCCTACACCCCCACCAACACCGCCCTCCGCAGCTGCCCTACCGAAGGCTCCTCCTGGAAGGCCAAGGCCTCTCCCCTGCCCCCGACCCCGGACGCGGATCTCTGTGAATGCATGGTCGACGCCGCCACCTGCACCGTCAAGAGCTCCCTCGACTCCGACGACATCGGTGACCTGATGGGCACCGTCTGCGGTATGATGTCCTGCTCCGGTATCACCGGCAACGGCACCACCGGCAAGTACGGCGCCTACAGCATGTGCAACAGCAAGCAGCAGCTCGTCTTCGTCCTGAACGAGTACTACCAGAGCCAAAGCTCGGCCGGTAACACCGCCTCGGCTTGCAGCTGGGGTGGCTCCGCTACCACCAAGTCGGCTACCTCGGCCACCGGTACCTGCAAGACTCTGATGTCTCAGGCGGGTACTGCCGGTACGGGTATCGTTTCTTCGACTGCCACTGCTGGATCGAGCGGTTCAACTGCCTCGTCTACTTCCAGCTCTAGCACTAGTGGTGCCAAGGCTGTCAATGTCGGTTACTTCCAGTTGGCTGTTTACGCCGCCGTTGCTGTTGTTAGCGGATTCGCTATGATTATGTTGTAGATGGATTAACCTAGAGACCACTGTTGTGTGGATAGATCGCTCCAGCGTTCGAAGTGTTTTTCTTCATTGATATCTTGTTTCTATTGCTGCTCTTGTTGATCGAGTCTGTACTTGACAATTGAACAATATTATATCTTTATCAGTATATATTTATCTTCAATTACTAGCCTGAACATAATACCTCTGTGCAATGCAAATAACATCCAACCTATTTTTCTACCACTACCACAGTAAATGTCCCTTAACAACGAAACTAACTTGCCACTAATATAACAATTAGACAACACTTTGGCCGAGTGGTTAAGGCCTGCTACTACACCTCCGTACTAGCTGATTAGCCTGTGGGTTCGCCCGCCTGGGTTAGAGTCCCAGAGGTGTCGCATATCTTTTTCCACTTTTTTTTTTGTCGGACCGACCCACTTTAGCAAGATGATCGTTTATCGCAGTGGAGTTCGCTTCCATTTTTTGGTCAATGGTTAATCATTTATGCGTGTTTCTATAATTTTCATGCGCAGTGGAGGTCAATGTATCAATGGGCTGTCTTGGCGGTGGTGTTGAGTTGGATTATGTGGAGCTGAATGAGGAGGGAGCATGCTGGTGGGTTTATATATACCCGTGGTATCTATTCTAGTCATGGAAGGCTGTTCTGAGGGCATGTTCTATATTTGCTGATGGTAGCGAGATGGGATGGTCAGATCATCTGCTCTCCAGCCATCCCAGTCCCGCCTCGGTTACCAGACTCTTGCTCCGCTGACAATTTCATTCTTGTTCTATATACTCCACTGGAAGGCTATATACAGATTACAGACTACCGGGGGATGCAAGCATGAGATAATGCTGCCGTTGACTGCGATCTTACAGTGAGTGTCCGTCCATCGACTCGGTTTCCCCTCGGTAATTCATGACAACACAAACCGGTGCGATAAATGAGTGTACCAGAGACAGTGCTATGCGTGGTAAAACAATACTCCGTTCCCTTCACTATGTGCCTGTTCGTATGGTTGGCCAGTGGCTGGTGGCTTTTCTGAGTCGAATACAAGGGTGCTGTAACGGTGAACCTGTGAAAGTGACCACTAGACAATAATTATCCGGTCTAAAGCTGAGCTCCAAACAGTCCACTTCCTATACGGGGTATATATTTTAGGGAAGCCAGCGCCACGGGCATGATGGATCTTCCATACAGACGATTTGGTGGGGAATGCGCGCCGCAGTTTCCCTGTTCGGCTGCGGGTTAATGCGCTCTGTGGCACGTAGTATTTACCATGACAGTAGTGGTGCTGGTGAGCGTCAGGTATGAACGTGGGTTGTCACTGATAATACTGGTATAGTACTAGTATCTTCGGCAGTACTAATTTGGCTTTACTGCATTCACGTTATGTAAGTGTTAATACTGGTAGTAGCATACTGAATCATACCTGGAATATAGATTAGTACACCACAACCAGCCATATATTAGGCAATGGGGCCTTCGCTGACGACTTACTGCGCATTTATTATAGCATAAGTCTCAACTGACATAGAATTAGTATATCAGAATACCACACAGAACGCCAAGATTGGGTAGGCCAGATGACAACAGTTGAGGGTTGATGACAGTGCCGATAGGATGATGCAGGCCATGCACAGTGGACAGGCGAGAAAGTCTATCAGCAGCCGATATAGAGCAAAAAGGAAAAGCATCTTTCACCGAACTAGCCCGGCTAGCTCAATCGGTAGAGCGTGAGACTCTTAATCTCAAGGCTGCGGGTTCGAGCCCCGCGTTGGGCTTTCTTTTTTCTTTTTTGCCTCTGAAGCAACTCTCCCTCCCTACGTGGTTTTTCTTACTTTTTTTTTTTTTTTATATTTTTTTATTTTCATTACGACAGTAACAAAAGCAGGAGAAAACATGGATCGCACCCATAGCCGCTACACAATCAAACTCAGAAACGATATTATCGGTGTGCTCTCGTCGGCTGTGTCTCTAATATGTTGGCCGCCATCACCTACTCCTGTTCACCCTGTTTGCTCCTGATAAGCTTGCGGGTAAGCCCACTGACGATCACCCCACTGAGCCACCAGAGAGCTCGGATCTCCCAGTGGGATTCTTCGACAAGGGGAGAGAGTCCAGGCCAATCTACTAACAAGATCGGACAGACGCTACAACAGACTACATTAACTCCTCGCCAAACTGAGTATTTCTCCTACATTAGAATCCGTGGTAATGAACATCAATAATTGGAAAGTTGCTGGATCACCCTCGTATCCTATCAACGATAGAAGAGGGGAAATACTCTTCAGAGAATAGTATTAGAGTTAAGTTGAAGAAGAGGCGGGAGATATCCAGACTCATGCATGATCTGGATTCAGCCCCGTTTACCTCGTATTCCGTAATAGCCGTAATAGCCGGATCAAACCCGCCAATACGATGTTGAATAGACGGGCGCCGAAGCAAGATTTGGCCAGACATTTTAATAATACTAACAACACTAGTTACTCCGTACTAACGATCCTGACAACACATAATCAAGAAGCTCTTAGTAGAGAATAACAATGCATAGCTTTTCCAATTAGCACGAGTGTATGACTACTATTTAGAATCGGGATCAGGTCCAGATCCAAGTTTCTCCTGTAAGCAGCAGCATTCGACGATTTAGTGGATCTCCAGTCGGAGGGGGTCCTTCCCTGCGGGGTTGCCCTCATTTCGTAAGCACTCCTCCCCTCATCTACATCATCTATAATCTCCCTCACCGTCATTAACTTGAACTTGAACATCTACTTCCTTTCAAAAAAAGCCCACCCTCAATTCATAGTAAAAATGTCCACCCAACCCTCCCAAACAGTCTACCACTACCTCGACATCGGCCGTCTCGGCCGCGGCGAAGTCCTCAGGTCAGCCATCCCCATCCCATTCCCCGCATCTCATCCCACCGAACACCACTAACGCCATCCTGAATATGAAATAAATAGACTATTCCTCAAAGACGCCGGGATCGAATTCAGCGAAGTCCGCTACCCATATGACGAAAACTGGCCACAGATTAGCAAGCAGCTCCAGGAGCAAGGGATCAGTCGGACGGGATTGGTGCCTGCGCTGGAGTATAAGGGGAAGATATTGACGCAGGTAGATTCTTCTCTCCCACTACCTCCTCATTCATATATATCTATATGTATATACTAATCTGTATACAGCATATTCCCATCCTCCGATACCTATCCCGCGACCTGGGCCGCTACGACGGCGAAACCAGCTGGGAGAAGTACATCGTTGATGCGGTGGCGGATATTTATATTGATTGGAGAGTTAGATTCCCCTAACCTTCTTCCAACCTCGATCTAGTGACTAATGTATGGTTTAGAGTGAATGGGTCTCCAACTTCATGCACCCCTCAGAAAAATACAAGAACGAATCCACACCCAAGTACTACAACCTCGTAGGAAAATACTACGCCGAGACGGAGGGTCCGTATCTTCTCGGGGAGAAGGTCACGTATGCCGATTTTGCCATTTATCAGATTATGGATAATGATCGGAGGACGGGGACTATTGTGGTATATTCATCCCTTTCTTTTTTTTCTTTATGTGTTAGTTGGGGTATGTGCTTACTGTTGTTCGTTGTAGGAGGATCTTCCCCAGTCGCTGGTCAGGTTTATGGATGTTTTTGAGAAGAGGGAGAATATTGCGGCGCTTATTGAGGAGGGAAGGTAGATTAGTAGTTTAGTTCTTTCGACTGAGTTGGTGTGTAGGGTCGAGGGGATGGATGTTTCATGTGATTACTCTCCAGGTTGACATGGAGTGAGTTATATGGAGATGGAAGTAGGGATTGAAGAAGTCTCAATTGTTCCCAATTTACAAGGCAACGTCCAGAAGTATGTACTGAGTATAGCACTACTCTGCTACTTCACTATCATAAATCATAGTATCTACAATCTACATTCAATCCCGATTAATCTCCACCACCGGCCCCGTATACTCCTTCCGAGCCCAAATCACATAATACACCGTACTAATCAAACTCGTACCCACCGTGCCAACCACCGCCCAATTCATCGTACTAGCCGTCGGGTTCATCTCATCCGGCCAGAAGCTAAAGAACACGCCGACAACAAGGTAAGCAATGGTAAACCCATTCACCAGCACACCCAATATTCCCCGCATTCTGAACGGGCCCCAGGCAAGAGGCGCACCTGCCGTGTTCACAACAGTATCCGTGGGTGCATCGGATGGTTCGCGAATACCGCCCGTGAGGCGCTGCCACATCAGAAGGAAGGCGGAGATTAGGTAGGAAGAGTAGAGGGCGCTGACGCAGAGAGACACGACGTCGTTGAGGACCGCTGCTGAGCCGAGGATGATCAGTGCGAGCAGGACGGCTGCGGTGGTGACGACGAGGATGGACCATTGGGGGACGGCTTGGGCGTTGACCTGGGTGGATTAGCGGACTATTTCCATAGGATGATGGGTGGGAGGCATACCCTGCTGAGTATCTGCCACCCCGGGAGACCACGGTCTCGGGCAAATGACCACGCCATGCGAGAAGAAGATGCCAATGAGCCGACAGCAGTGGCAGTGACGAGGATCGGCACGATGGCTGACATGACGGTACATCCTCCAAGGGACTTCGTGGCCGAGCAGAAGATCTGCATGTAAGGGTACCCCGTGGGCGAGGCCAGTGCGGCTGTCGAGTCGGTCATGGTGAACAATGTGGACAGAATCATTCCGAAGCCCAAAGCTCCGTTGATCAAAACCGAGGTGAGGATGGACTGCGGGACAACGCGCTCTGCATCGTAGATTTCTTCGCTCATCTGCCGAGTTGTCTGTCAGTCAAGTAGAGGAGAATTCGGGTAGTGTGTGTTGAAACTCACGTGGACGGCCGCATCCACACCGGTAAAGGCAAACATGTTACCGATCATACCGACCATGAAAGCTAAGCCCTGCGTCTGGAAACCGCCGTCATTGGTAAACTGCCCAAAGACCTCCGAAGCGGGATTGTGATCTCCCAAGTAAACCAAAGGTATGATGATTCCGAAGAACCCAAACACGTGCAGGATCAGGACAAGCCCCTCGAATTTGGGCAATAAGGTGCTGGTAATCACATTGACGAACACAGCAAAAGCCACAATGGCCCAGAACAGAAGCATCGTTTGCCAGGGCTCAGGGGTATAGGACGAATGATTAAGAACCACCAAGCCCAGAATCTGGGAAGCACTCAGGTAGCAGGTTGACGCAAATGCTCCCAGCCAGCCGATAACAATCAACCATCCTAGATAGCTATCAGCGTGATGAGTGGTGGAGAATTAATGGTAGTATACGCACCTGTCAGAAAGCTGAGGTACTTCTGGCACCATCGCGGGGACATCATCGACACCCAGTGATATTGTCCTCCGGAAGTAGGGGCCCTTCAGGA